AAGGTTCATATGTTATATCCAACAAATAATATATTCCATAAATTGGGTGCATTATTGACACAACTAAGGTAGGAAAAGTCCTACACAAAGGAAGGCTAGCTACCTTGAATCCAGAAAGAATTATTAAAATTCACAAAGCAAAAGCATAATAAATTACATGAGGACCTAATAATCCCAATTTATTGAGCAACTTTCACATACATTATTTCCATGGCCCAACTCAGACAAAGCAAAGCAACCCTTGATCTCATAGTTTTCAGTAGAACTCAACCACTTGTCGTGATGATGCTTGGTTCCCAGAAACTTTACAGCCCCACCCCTGAAATCCATCATTCATCTTAGAAAATAACAGTGAATTAATCACGATTCCATCTTAGAATATGAGTTTGGAATAATTCAACTCCATAAATCTAGTAACTAACTTGTAAGGTGAGAATTGTATTATACTTATATACAATACTTTGACCAACACCCGAATGTCATCACAATGTCGTCTTAAAATATGGGTTTGGATTAATTCAAGCCCACAAAACTAACAACCAGTTTGTAAGACGAGAGTTGTATTACATATATACACTACTTTTTTATATCACTAGTCAATAGTCATGGATCTCCAACACACTCCAATGCTATGAACCAACTCATATTCTTAAGATGATATCAAAGTCTATCTCAGTGATTGTTGTTAGACCTATCAGACCATTGACTATCACTGCTATCACAAGTAGCATATGTCCAATCTTGCAAATTTTATGCTCAAGATGTTCACTCCTCCACATGAGCTAATGAGTGTGTAGGAGATTGTTCAATGCTGTAATCTCATAAACTCTACCTCCCGAGCATGCCTGACCCTCACTGGGAAGTACTTCTCGAGGAAGGCCCTCTTGAAGCACACCCAATCCACAAGCACTCCACGATCAATCAACATCTTACTAGTACCTCTCCAACAAATACTCTGCCTCCCCTGTCAACATATACACTGCATAGGTGAGCTTTCGCTCCTCTGAACAACCTAGAACTGAGAATATCTTTTCTAACTCGCAAATCCAGTAGTCAACCACCTCTGGATCTGCATCACCTCTAAACTGAGGAGGACTACACTTCCTAAACTCAGCCAAAACCCGACTCTCCTATGACCCAACTGGTCTTGAGGCACTAGTCGCAGCTCTCTCAGTATCCATCCTAGTAAAGTAAGCATTCTGCTGTTGCACAGCCAAAGCCATCATCTCCATGGCATGGGCTATCTGCTCATGTTCTAAGCATCTTCTACAAAATGAACAACTCATTCAACACACTACATCTTAACTACTCAACACAAATCAACACAACATCCAACACAACACAAAGTTCAACGCAACAAAAGCCTAAAGGGACCACCCTCACAGAGTGTCCACTAGACTCGAACTGCTCTGATACCATAAAAGTGTAACGACCCGCCATGGTCGTCACACTACGAACAACATTACACACTACTGAATTATATTAAAAGAGTATAATAAAATATTTTTACAATACAAGTTGTTAATCAAGCAACCAATGACGACCAAATATATATATAACAAAATATGCTACCATAAGGTAGCCTACAAAAAAATTCTATCTCCAGGCACCTCCTGTGGCTTCTAGCAGCTACCTCCAGTCTATCCCTGCCCTGCTCCCATACAACGTATGATCATCGCAGTCCAAACCACATGGAAACATGCAAGGGTAAGCTAGAGACAATAAACAACTCAATATAATTTAATCTGCAAGATAACAACTATAATCATCTTCACATCTGACACAAAAGATAAATAACATATATATATATACATCTTAACATCATTTCAACTTAATTCCACATATCAACGCTGTATCAACACCTCTCAACAAATACATGTCTAAAATAACTTACAATATAACATAACAACAAATATACAACTCATATCAACAACAAATCAACTCATCAACAACTTATGCGTCGTCACGCATTTTGACTCGGAGATCTCCTACAACATGATAAGTAGTCTAAGTGGCTAGGTCTTACCAAACTAACAACACAACAAATTTGGATATCAATCCACAACACGATAATGGTTTCTCAGACTTTGCCACTTAAACAAGGAAGTATAGTACTCGGTTAG